AGTTACGTCTCTTTCCAACCTAATATTATAATTTTTAATTGAAAATAAGAAATAAATATGAGCAAAAATGGTGGCTCATCATGTCTAAGAGGGCTTCGAGATATGGAAAGAGTTCTACAAATTTTATGCCTCTTTCATGCCACATCATCACAAATAGAAATAGAAAATACACCGTTGGAGATGCTCTTAGAAATTAATTACCCGTGGGATTAAACTTATTGTATACATTGGTTGTAGGTCAAACCAAGTTATTGATTTAAGAATAGTGACATTGTAATCCCCCCTATATATTAATTCAAAACGTGTTGAGCCTAAGTGGCAGACTCACACACTTCATATGCTAACATGGCGAAAATCTATGCTTCGAAATGTTGTTTGTATATTCATTTTTGCTCTGGAATTAGGCTTGGTATAGACATAAATAACTTATTTCAAACTTGGTTAGTGTACATTTAATTTTGTTATTTTTTTTTCTCTTAATACAAACTAGTACGTACCCCGGGCGATGCACGGGACAGAGATATTAAATGAGTTTCACACCCTTGTCTGTTTAAGTCTAAAAAATAAAAAATAATAGGGTTATTATCTATTTTCTACCTCTTTTAATCAACGTTAAGTCTAAAAAATAATAGGGTTATTATAAGTTTTTTTCCACATCTCACTAAAACATTTATACTAATAAAAATTTAATTTTAGCATATAAATTTATCCCTTGATATAAGAGAAAATAACAGATTTACTTATTGTTGTTCACTATATAATATTTAATTATTATTTTATTATATAATAAAAATGAATACTGTTAAATAGTGTAGTAGAATTGTTATAAAATTATATGAATTATTTTTTTACAATATGGATTTAGTATATTTTTATGATTTGATAATATAACTATAATATATTCTTAATGATACAATCTGAAATCGGATTACATAATTTCAATACATAAATAATAAATTTTTTGCTAAAAAGATAAGAAGGAAATTTTGATTTCAATCTACAAAAAGTTTAAAATGATTTTATGGGATTTTGTTGACTAAACGGATTTTATGGGATAAAACAAATAGAAGATAAGAAGGGAATTTCAAATATACAAAAAATTAAAGCCGATTTTGTGGGATTTTTTTGCAGGAAAACAGATTGTATGGGAATAGTAATAACATTAATTGAGTCGCATAGCATTAATTTCAATATAAAATAATTAAATAAAATACATGCTGAAAATAGTAATAACATTAATTGCAGTTGACTTTTCTAGATATTATTTGTAGTAAATAGGATTCCTTTTAATATAAGTATAGATTTTCCTTCTTCGTTTGGGCAAGTAGCAATCTTACTTACCATCTTATAATTTTCTCCCATATTTCCCTCCTAAATTACAATTTATAAATCACTTTCTGCACTGTCTATTCCTCTTTTTTTTTTTTTTTTTTTTTTCATCAATTAGTCCATCAAAATTTTTAAATAAAATTTTTATTCTAACAATAAATTTTATCATATATTTTCTTAATTCAGCACCCATGTAGTACTACTACACGGGTATTGTACTAGTAAGGGTCGATAACGATGTTGCCATAAAATATGCTATAACCCAAACACAAAATAATCAATCATGAATTTACTAGAGTTGCTATTTGAATCAAGATGTGTTAGTTTTGTGAAAGCTCGAGCTCAGTTTGTTCGATTGCTTAAATGAGTTGAGGTCGAGCAAACTAACTGAACTCGTTCATTAAATGAGTCAAGCTAAACTTCTTCATGAATATTTTTCTTTTGTAAATTTTAAATAAAATTGTCGAGCTGAACTAATATACAAACAACTCGCTCGTTCAAAAATTTCAATTTATTACATGAGTCAACCCGAGTATAAATGAATCCAATCGAGTCAACTAATTTATTAAACGAGTACTAACTCAAATATGAATTCAGTTAAAAGTATATATTATACATATCTATAATGTTTTTTAGGGCATATGTCAATATACAATATATGAGTAATTATAAACGACTGTCATCAAATGGTTTTATAGCAAAAATCTATCATTATATAAAAAGAATAACTTTTCTTACAAATTTAGAAACCCTTTCCCGCCAAAATCATTAAATATATCCTACATATAGTAATTGTTGGACAAATCTGAAATAGGCAAAAAAATCGGCTACTTAATTGTGTAAAAATTTGTTTTTCTTTTTCCTGTTTTTTAGTTTATCAAAATCGTTATTTGACAATAAATATTTATTTTTCTTTTTTCTATTTTTAGTATAAATCTACACGAGCTTATCTCTTCTGTTACAAAATCCCATTGCATAAAAAATCTCATCCCTTATCTATACAGATTTGAAAAATAAAATAAAATAGAAACCAATTCATAGTTACTACTGGAAATCCATTATCTTTAAAAAGAAAAAATAAAATAAAATAGAAACCAATTCATAATTACTACTAGAAATCCGTTATCTACTTTAAGAAGCTAAGTTTCATCGGTCTAATTACTACGTAATATTTTTACAAATATTATAAGCTAACCATATAAAAAAGTATAATAATAATTTTAAAATGGTGTGTAATCAAATTTTTTTATATTCTCTTATACAAAATAATTTTACATTGTTTGACCCCGAATATTTAATTTATAATTATTAAGTATTGTTTATCATCCTCTTTAATTTATAATTATTTTTTTTCTTCCTCTTTTTTAAATAGGATCAATAATAGTTTCCACTTCCGCCATTGAGTGACTCAAACTCGAGGTCTATTTATAATATTGTTAATTTAATATTATTCTCATGCATCGTACGGAGTACACACTAGTGTTCTTTTAAAAGTCTACTAGTGTATTTGTTTAAACCCAACTAATACTGAGGGCAGGATTGAACTGGCCCAAAGTGGGTTCAAAGTTCAAACTATTTGGGCCTTATGTACAATATAGATATATTGAGTAGCCTTTATCTATATTTATATAATATTATCTTTACCTTTATTTTAAATCTATGAGGATTGACTCTGTAAAGAAATAGCATAACTTATTACCAAAACAATTTCATGAAATAATTTTTTTATCCAAATAATCATATTAATTCATATATAAAATTTTGTAGTGCTATATCATACAATACCATATATTTATATCGATCCATATACATCTTATATAAAATAAGTTTCACAGTAACACACACAATAACTTGTTATATTGCATTCTTGCATTACGATGTAGTTCCAGTATGGAGCCATCATATATGGTTCATAAAATTAATCATTTAGCCCAAATAACTATAGGTTAGTAAAATAAATAATTTAATAAATCATATGGAGCCCAAAATTGCCCGATATTTATTGAATATTTCTAACTGGCATTCCTTACAAATAAAGGATTTCAATTCAATTTCTAACCTTAATCGATTGATTAATTAACATTTTGAGTACACGATTATTGACTTGGAGGATTAAATTGCTTAAACCGATGCTGTTTTACACGTTGACTCAATTTAGGAGAGATGATTATATGAGAAATTCTGATGGATGAGTATTCCAGCAAATCAAACCACGTATATGGTTGACTTTTTACCTCACCCTATGCAAAGTATTTGTGCTAAAATAGACGAATTTGAAGATGTTCTCAAAATCCAAACGTGTAATGAACAGGTTGAATTTGAGAACTATAGTTAAATAATTCCATTAAGATCTTGCTTTTAATATTTTAAAAACCTACTCGTTAGGCTTGGACGTGCGATATGCTTCGAGTCTTTCACGAGGTATAAAAGCTACCTTTCACTTTTGGGCATGATATTGTTGACTCACTTTTGACATTAGTTCACATTATATATGTCAATATGAATTACCCTTATCATGTTGATTTTTCTTAATTACCATTCAAATGACTGCTAAATATACTACACAATTACATATATTTTGCTATATACAAGTCTTAGAGGTGATTAAGACCCTTTATATGGAATAAACTGGTTTAAATTATTAAATAATATTCATGTACTTAATAAACTGGTTTAAATTATTAAATAATATTCATGTACTTAACTACAACATGTGTCACATTTTGAAAAAGTTAATTGAATGCTGAATGACATTTGACCCACACTAACTAAATGTGTTTTTCAAATGTCATCATTAATAACTATTGTTTGTTCTTCGATTGGCAATGGTGGCTATCATATCTCTAAACTAAATTAGATATTCATAACTAGATTTGACATGTTTTAAGATCAACTATTTCGGACTAAGTCTTCATAACTATATCAACATATTTTAGGATTGGCTTTAGACCAGGTCGTCATATCTCTAGACCATCTCTCAAATCTTGGTGACCATCGTTAGGCCTTCACAACAAGCTTTTGATACTCCTATACAACTCCAACTCTTTATTTTTCGTCCGCTTGGAATATCTTTTGTTTGTATGACTATTATTTTTAATAACCTAAGCTCTATTTTCTCTATCGCATGTCTTTTTCTAACAATCATACTTGAGTTGATACCAACAACTTTGCCTTTTTTATTCTTCCTTTCCCCACGATCTCTCATCTTGTTACTTAGTGTGTGATGCCTTTGATGTCCTTTTTATGAAGTGAAAAATATTGATGCATATAGATTAAAGAGAAATATCCAATAATTTCTTCGCAAAAGAAAGAGAAATTTAAATATGTCTTGTTACTTAGTTGAGTAATGTTACAAGAAGGTAAAGCACAAATGATTAAAACTTTAACAAAATGTTTACACATGATTTGGCGTTACAACTTTTGATAAAATTTTACTTCTCAACTCATGCGCATAAGGCAGCACCCCCAAGACTGCAAGCTTGATGCAAATCTTAGAAATTTATTCATAAAGAGACACCTTTTTCTATCTTATTTCCAAAAAAAGAGGTTGAAGGTTTTATTTGATTTAGCTCTTGCTATTTCAAAAAAATGCTATGCTCAAAGTAGTGGTATACAACGGTAATGTCCGTGCGTGTACAACGTCAAACAAAGCAAAAATTGAGTGATGGGACCAGAAAACAAGTTAATGACTATTTAACCAATTTGGTAGCGCAATAATTCTGCAGAAATAATGCCATTGTCCCACCTTATGCCCAATTAATTTCTGCTGATCTGTGTAATCCACTCGATTAAGTACAAAATCTTGGGTGCAAAACCAAAATCTGTCAAAAAAAGGAAAATTTAAAACATTTCATTACAAGATTACATGTATGAGCTTTATAATCGGGCCGACCAAAATCAATCCGAAAAAGGAGAAAAAGGTGCCATCTTCCACCCACTACACATCTCTTTGAAAAGAAAAAAAAGAAAAACAGAGGAGCAAAGAGAAAAATAGAAGAATATTGGCAGTCATTGTGCTTGTCCCTCTTCAATATTCTTCTAGCCAGCCTGTTGAGGTACCTTGAATCTACTTTCTTTATCACCTTCGTTCTACTGATTTTTTTTTTCTTTTCCTTGGTCTAATTAATTGGGTCCGAGATGGGATGTCCCAAGATTTGATTTTGTTGTTAAATTGTGTTTTATTGTGTGGTAATTAAAGTGGGTTCTTGTTTTCTTCTTTGCTCGTGTATCTATATTTTCTTGTAAATGCTGCTAGACATATGGGGGTTTGTAGATTTTGCTTGAAGGTTGTGCCTTTTTCATTGTTCGTGGTGTTCTCTATGCTCCTTTAGTAGATCCACTGACGGCTGAGGTATGTTAGTGTAAATATGGTGAACGATTGCTGTTTGTGCTTGTGAATTGGATACTGGGGCTGTTTATCACTTGAGTTTGTGTGATTAGTTGATTCAGAAACGTTTGGGAAATGTCTTAGGTTTTGATTTCATTTTCTGGAGTTCAGTTCTTACTTTATAGTTGAATTCGAGTCCAAGCCCTTTCAAATTTTTCAGTTAGTCTCTTTGTTTTGTCAGCTCTTCAGTTACTCCATTGTTTTTTCAAGAAACATAGTCGATGAAGCATAATAAGGAAAATGGTGAGATTTTTTTTTGCATTTCAACAGCTAATACGTTTGCCTAAATGGAAACTCTTCTGCATCAAGATCCGTGATTTGGCTTTGAATTCTTCATTAGTAACACTGTTGTTTAATAATCTGATGAAGTAGCTCAATAGGACGAGGGGTGGAGCTTTGTTTGTTTAAAAGTGACGTTCATACTGGACAATGAGTAGATAAAATGATATATTCTTCCTTCAGCAAAATTTCACCTACAGCTTAATAGTTAGAAGGATAATCATATTCATGACACACTCTAAACTTGTCTTCAAGACCCTTCTTTATTTTGTTTATTTGTTTCTCCCTTTGTGATCCTTATATCATGTGTAGTACATTTTATCAATTTTTTATAAAAAACTGTTTACCATCTCACATAGATAATACCTTTTTCCTCTGCTCATCATCATCATCATCATCATCATCATTACCATCATCATCAAAAA